GTAATACTTCCAACTTTGTTCTTATCACTCAGAATTGTTTTCTCTATTCTGGGTCTTTCATTTTTCCACATGAATTTTCAGATTATTCCTTCTTGTTTTGTGAAAAATGTCACTGAAATTTTTATGGAGAGTACATCAACTCTACAGATCACTTTTGGTAACATGACCATTTTGGCAATATTAATTCCGCCTGGTACATGGTAGGTATTTTCATCTTCTAACATCATCTTCCACTTCTTCAGTGTTCTGTAATGTTCATTGCAGAGGTCTTTCATCTCCTTGATTATATTTATTCCCAGGTATTTTATTTTTTATTGCTTTCCAATGTTTATAACAACATAATTCACAATAGCCAGGCTACAGAACCAGCCTATGTGTTGTGTCTATCAACAACAGCCATAATGGAGAATGAAATTATGTCATTTGCATGAAAATAGATGGAACCGAGAACATCATGCTGAGTGAAATAAGCCAAACTCAGAAAGCCAAGGATCAAATGTTTGTTTTGCAATAGCTAGAGAGAAGAAAGTAGGGAGATCTCATAAAAATAGAAGGGAGACCAGTGGAGGACAGGTAAGGTGTCAAGGGGGATGGAGGAAGTGAGGGAACAGGGAAGAGCCGGGGAATAAAATCAACAAAATTATGCTGGATGCATGTGTGAATATACCCCAATGAATCCCACTTTTATGTGATTACAATGCATCACTGAAAAAATATACATGTAAATAAATAGAAGGAAAACCAGAAGAGAAAAGGAAGGGGAACTGGGGAAGAGAAGAGGTGAAGAAAAAGGAGTGTACCAGGAAATGAATTGGAGCAAATTATGTGCATATATGAATATGTCACAGTGACCTCCACCATTATGTATAATTACAGTGCACTAACATAAAATTTAAAAGAAAGTCTTTGAACTTAAAAAATTAAAATGTTAATTTGCCAGAAACAAACAAGATCTCAGGGACCATTGAGTAAAGTGTGAATAGAAGCTGAACTACTTGGGGGCTGTGAGTGGTAAATGGCTGAGCACCCAGCATGAAGCAGAACACAAAGGAAATGGGTGTCAGCATTCCAGTGGTTGCCCCAGGGGCGTCCAGTGAGTGCTTTAAAAAAATCACTACCAAAATAAGCAAGGATTGAGGAAGAACCTTGCAAGTAAGATTCTTCACTGGGTAGATTTTGTAAGTCAAATATTTTCTCTTAGAGGAAAATATTCCTTCTCACAGCCCTTTAAAACACAGGGTATCTAACACCAGCTTTACCAAATACCAGCCACTTCCTATTAATTATCCATACCTGCTTCAGAGGCTGAGCTGAAGGCCTATAAACAGAGCAGACCAAGGACATTTTGGAAACTGCTAGTCATTTTCTTTCTAACTTTTGTTTGGTTCTAAATGCCCTCTGATCAGAGTCAGATTTGGAATAGGAGACCTCCTGCTTCTGAGTCTGGGAACCCTGTTTCACCCCTGGCTAAGCATGTAGCTTTATGCATATTCAGTTCATTTATTTGGCAAGCTGAGAGCAATCTGCTGTTGCAGACAGACACGAGAGAAGCTGTTCTTAAAATGGGGAGGATTCTGCTGATCCTCATGGTACTGCCCCAGCAATCCCAGGTAGGGGGAGCATCGTTTAATGAGTCCCCCCCTCCCCCTGCCTGTTTATTTTTTGGTTCTGGGGATTGAACTCAGGGGCACTTAACCACTGAGCCACATCCCCAGCCCTTTTACGTATTTTTTTTTTTTTTTTAGAGACAGGGTCTCACTGAATTGCTGAGTGTCTTACTAGGTTGCTGAGACTGGCTTTGAACTTGTGATCCTCCTGCCTCAGCCTCCCCAGTTACTGGAATCACAGGCACACACCACTGCACCCAGCAATTATTGCCCTTTTCAAGTTATCACTGATGCAGCAGTAAGATTGAGAAGGAGTCCTTAGTGGTTAACTTTTTGGTTTGGTTTCAAGGCTAGCTTTCTCTTTTTTTAATTAATTTTTTTATTTATATATGACAGCAGAATGCATTATAATTCATATTACACATATACAGCACCATTTTTCATATCTCTGGTTGTATATAAAGTATATTCACACCAATTCGTGAAGGCTAGCTTTCTTATGAGAGCCCAAGAGTTCTTTCTTGAGGGGCGGGGCTTGGGTAGGCCAAATACAGACCCAGAATCTTCTTTCTTTTGTACATAAAAATGGCTGCCCCCCAACAGATTCTGGGAATATTGGCAACAACAGTTTGCTACAGAGATTGTCCCCTTCTGGACAAGGAGCCCCACATGTTTTTCCATTTCCAGTGGCAATAGTGGGGAGTGTAAAAGAAATAAAACTGCAGGTCTCATAGGTCACTGCTTTGCAAACTGTTTAATATAATGTGATGAGAACAGGGGTCATCAAATATTAAGGTGCCATTTTTGCTAGGTACTGGGGTGAAAGCCATGGAGAGGTCCAAAGCCAGCAAAAGAAATAATTTTCAAAAGCATCAAACTTAGTCTTTGACTTCCCCAGACACTGTGCATACCTAGAAGTATTTAAGAAAATTAAAGGCCACTTGATTCTCTAATGACTTGTATTGGGCTTAATGGGCAGGGGCTCTGGGTATATGGGCATTTAGATGGTGGGCTGTAGCCCAGGGCAAGGAGCTCCATATTCTTGAGCTCCTTCTTTGATACAGACAATAAAGAGTATCCAATGGGCAACACAAAGCAGAGGCATATAGGCACCAAGCAGGAAAGAACATGGGAATAGCACCTGGGTAGTAGGAATACAATCCTACTATCCTGTAAGGAAAGCAGAGAGAAAGTGGTGGGAGGATGGCTGCAGATGCCCCAAACCAAGAAGGTGGGAACTTCTGAAGGTGCCATAGAAACATGGGGCATTTCAACAATGGAGGAAAGGTGGTGATGAATTAAAGAGGTCCCACTGGTTTCTAACTAAACGAATGTCTCAAGATATGTAAGTCCATAATTCCCTGAAACTTTTAGATCTGAGAAGAAGAGACCATCCAGGCCCCACTGTGTTTGGACCCATCTGGACTGAGGCTGTTATTGATGTTTCTGTTCAGGAACATCTCAGTAGGGTGACATCTGGGGAGTTGTCCAGATGTCACCCTACTGAGCTCGACCCTCCCAGAACTCTAGGATTCCATCAGTGCCACTGCATCCATTCAGGATTCCATGTCCTTGAGTAACTACAGAGGGCAGCAGTAACTACAGAGGCCAGCAGTACTCAGACAGACTGCCATGATATGCCTTCCAGCTCTGAGTCCTTCCGTGCTGCAGGGGCCCAGCAAGACTCTTGAAACCTTACTATCATGCAAGCCTTTCTTATTATTCATAATGGCATCCTCCCTTTCTTAGGACATTTGGGACATTTTTTGCAGAGTTTTGCCACCTATTTGTTTAGCAGAATTACATTCTTATATTTATAAAAGACCATTCGGAGCCAGATAGTATAGAATGTATACATTGCAATGTGCACTCATTCAGTGAATGTTTGCAAGATACCCATTGTATGCATTGTTAAGCTGGCTACCCATGGAGCGATCCCACAACAGATGTGAACAGATCCCTCCCGTAAGAGGAATCCATTCACCCATCACCTTCTGAACTCATCCCAACTACCCCTCTTTGGGGGATCTTCATCCCACCTCCCTAAGAGGTCCAGGCACACTCTGTTGCAGTTCTTGCACTTGCTATTCTCTCTCTGGAATGCTTCCCCTCTCCCCCAAGATATCCACATGGCTCTCTCCCCCCCTTCCCTTGAAGGCTCACTAAGTCACTGCCTCAGGACTGAGCCCTTCCTTGCCCACTCCTTCCCCAACACTCTACCCACTATCCCTGCTTCATTTACATTTTTGGCTAAGCAATCATCATTACCTAACATGTGCTGTATCCTCTAATCATCTCAAGAACGCAACTCCACGGTGGTAGGGATGTTTATTTATTTCAGTCACTGCTGTTTTCCCAGGACCCAGGAGAGTGCTGGGGCCATAGTGGGTACAGAATAAATATCAGTGGAATTAATAGTTGAATGAAGAACAAGGTATGCAGTTAAGCAAGAAATTAGGCCACATTCTGTTCAGGTAATAGACAGTAACTGACACAGCAGAGTGTCATGTTGATCCTAACATAGTCTCTCACCATTATATTCGCCTTCAGTGGCTTTACCTCTGTCTTTATCTACAAGTCTTGGAAGGTGCACACCTGCAGGGAACACCCCTTTCTCCTCCCCTGTGTACACAAATGACATCCATTAGTAATACAAGGAACAGCAAACTCACATCCAGAGGAGACTGAAGCCTGTGTAATCCAAGTGGCTCAGACCCCAAAGAAGTTTCCTGTTCCAAGACAATTAGCATGCAAATAAAGTAAGGGTAAAAATACCAATGTCCTTGGTTATTGGAAGACTGCATCAAGTTTTTGGCGATTGTTACTATGGATATTGTTCTCCAGGTAAGACAGCATTTATTCAGTTTTCAGTGAAAAGGTAGCAAATCCAAACACCAAAAGAGATTCAATTAAGCATCAGAACAACTGCAAAGGCCATGTCGCAACACCGAGGTGGCCTGTTTTTCTGGTCATTATTAATCCAGAAACCTTAATGATGAACAACATTTGTGTTATTGTCTACCCAAATTTAATTTGTTTATGCAGCAGTTCAGTTAATCCTGCAATCTGTTTTTCTCAAACGAGGGCAGATAATGGAGACACCGTTCTTTACAAGTCTTCAGGCTTTTAAATTCTGATAAAATCAGGATTCTTCACTGGGTCTTGCCCCAGCTCTGAATTAAACCACTTTAAATGTAATTATGGAACCTGGCCTTACATCAGGAACATCCATTTAAAAAATTGATTGGCCAGACTTTTCCACGAGGCATTTTATGAGCAAACGATTGCAATGGGGCCAGAGCTGTAATTTATCAAGGCAAAAAAGCAGGTAAATACTTTATTAGTGGTAATGAGAGAGTTGCCAGCTAACTGAATCTCTTCTTCCCTCACCAGCTACTTCACGGAGCCGTGGTGCATGGCCCTCTTCCACGATCGTTTTATTGATCTCAGGAAAGAGTTACGCCAAATCTTAGCCTCCAAGGAGGTAGGAGTGATTAATGGACATGTGGATTATTCCTTACAAATTACAAGCAGTTGATAGTTGTTGATCATTTGGATTTTCCCCTACATTCCCATTGTATGGCTTTACTTTTTAAGTCAAACTGCAGTTCATGTAAACATACTATGGAGCATGGAAATGTAGACAGTGGTGTGTTCTCGGGAGAGTGAGTTTGCCCAAATCCTGTTATGGGGAAGCACGTTTCTTTTTCCATTTTACAAGTAGCTGTATTTTCATGCTCAACTATCGTGTTGGCTGAAAATTGGCTGAAAAATGAATTGTATTTATCTGTCCTCAAGATCGAGGATGAAATTCCTTCAGTTTCTGTCTGCCCTTGGCTGAACATTTGTCTCTGTGCTGTTTTAAAGATATAAAGAGAAGTCATCAGGTATCACACTCCCTTTATAAACTGAGACATCTTTCCCAAAGTGATACAGAATTAACTGGAAGTTAGGCCACATACCACAAAGTTTCCAGGCTTAATGAGAAATTTGACTCTCCAAAGAAAAAGGAAGGTATCTGTGAAACTTTGGGTTGTTTCTTTCAATATGAGAGTCCTTGGCATTGCTGTAAAATGTTAATACAGAGAGCTGTCGAATATCTATCCTAGACTCTATCTTAATTCACACAGACAAGGGCTGGGGCTCTGGTTAATTTCCACCTTGATTTAACATCTAAGTGGGCACCTTCTATGGCTCTATTGTCACGTCCACTTGGGAGCATCCATAGCCTTGAAGTTTCCCATGGAGGTTACCACAGTGGACAACACAGAGAGATATCATGGACCGAGCATCCCTACTGCATTCCAGCCAAGCATGAACTGCCTCTCATAACACAACAGAACCAAACTGTTAACTAAGAGTTTAGAGATTTTAAATAACCCACTGCGGGTTCCACAGCTAGTCACAACAATTATCAAATTCGAAATTCTCTGGGAACATGGGCACTGAGCCATACAGGGCCAAACTGTGTGTCTTACCGCCTTCTCTTCAACAGCCCCCTTTTCAGAGTGACTCCTTGGACCCAAACTGGGAAGTGTAAACAATTTACTAATCTGAAGTAGATTCAGATTAATTCTGAAGTTTCAACCAAACTGACATGCTTTAGGGTTCACACAGGTAAAAACCCAGTAGGTAAATGTAAATGAGGGAAGTGGAGGATACTGTGGCTAAATGCAAAAGTCAGATGCTGCATAAGTTATTCAGATTGAAATGTATAAACAGACCCTTAGGGACTGGTTCCAGGTCCCCAGCAATTATGAAAATCCTTTCTGCTCAAATTCTATATATAAAATTGTGTGACAATTGCCTAGAACCTACACACATCCTCCCACATGCTCTAAATCATCTCTAGATTACTTTTGGTGCCTAATACAATGTAAATAGTTCCTGTACTATTTAGGGAATTATGACAAGAAAAAAAAGCCCATACATTTAGTAGAGGCAAAATGTTTTTCCCAAATATTTTTTACTATGGTTGGTTGAATCCACAGGTGTGGAACCTGTAGATATGATGGGCCAACTGTATAAATTAAAGATGCTATAGGACAATCCCCTGCATGTCACCCTGGGGCTGCAAGGAGGTCAGCTCAGGTTGAAATCTTAACCCCAAATGTAAGCCTAGTGCTTACTGAACTTTGCTCAACTCCTCAGACACCTCCCTTCCTCTCAAAATGTGATGCGCAGTTTGCTCCGGCCTCTATCATAAAGATGCATTCATTTGCTAGTGATTGCATCAAAACTCTGTGCCTAAATATTTATTACCTCTAGATCTGAGTTCCTCAATTAATATTTTGCACAGAGGCAAGGGGTTTTAGAATAAGCAGAGTGTTTTATTGTTGGGAGAACACTAATTTCCTAAGTAATTACTGGAAACCATAGGATTCTTAAAATATCTTATCAGAATTGTTACACAGCCCTCTCTTTCTAAATAAAATTCAGTTTCCTAAAATGTTAATTTGCCATGGATTTAGAGAAAAGAGGAAGGGCGTGGGGTGAAATGTTGAACACAGAGGACTTCTTAGGGCAGTGAAACTATGATATCATACGATGGGCATGTGTCAATTAGACTTTTCTCAAAACCCACAGGATGTACAACACAAAGAATGCACCCTAATGTAAACCTATGGACTTTAGTTAATAATCATGCATCAGAATTGGGTCATCAATTATTTTTTTCAAAAAAAGCTTTCTTTTCACCATCCCCAGTAAACTGTCAAATCCAATGGCATCTATCATTTTTGATGGGTCTTCTTGAGCCACCCTGAAACCTTTATCCATGAGCTACCATTAGGTACAGGCCAGTTTGCTATGAATCAACTCAGTGTGGACAGCAGGCCCAGTCAGTAGAGGAATGGCCAAAGACACACTGAGGACTCCACGACCATTCTTATGGATTTTCTAGATTCCTAAAAAATGAAACCTTTGGAAGAAAAAACCTCCACTGGGGGACTGTTTTGCTTCCAGCATTTCCATTTGTCAAATGGGAAGGCCCACATGAAGAGGTGGCACATGGTGTAGTGTCTGCTGCTTGCCTGGTTGGACCAAGTAGGGTGGCTTTGTCAGATTCCTGTGGAATAAGGGCTAGCTCTTATCGCTTCTCGGCCTTTTGGCTAAGATCAAGTGTAAGGGCTAGCTCTTCCCACCTCCCAGAGAGCTAAGGAAGGAGTTACAGAAGGGATGTGCACAAGCACGTGGCACAGAAGACTCACTCAGCAAATCCTAGCTGTCACCAGCACCAGTAGTAGTGATGGTGACAGTGGAGACAGCTGTCAGTGAAAACAATGGCACATGAGAAGACAAGCAGAAATTTCATTTAAGATTCTGCTGATGGAAAATTAAAATCTAATGGCATCTATCATCTATGCCCTAAAGAAGAAGAAGAATCCCTTTGCTCAAATATCAAGATGATAACAATTTCAGAGAAGTATGGACATTCAGCAATAACATCCCAGAGGTTGGCATTTCAATTTTCCTCTCCCTCCACATGTAGAAAAAAGATAAAAGAAGGATGGTTATCTATGACTATTAGAAATCATCTCAAATCTACATATTTTTAAAATTCATTATGATATCCAAAATCCTGCTGTGAAAGTCAAGAGAGAAACAGATTATAAATTCAGTGACACTACATTTTAGCTGCACATGAACCCTGTTGTCACTGACCAAGGTGAAATTTTTGCATAGTCAAAATCATCCTTTAAAGTCCTTTAAGAAAGTTATAATAATTATAAACATATACACACTAAATGATAGAACCCCAAAACATAGAAGCAAAAGTCAACAGACTTGAAGGAAGAAAGAGGCTCTTAGAAATGAGAACTGGAGATTTCAATATCCCATTTAAACAATGGACAGAATGACCAGCTAGATCAGTAAGGAAAAGAGGACTATAAACCAACTGGACATAGCAGATGTGTACAGAATATCCCATGCAAAAAGAGCAGAATGCACATTCTTCTCAAGTGCATGCAGGACGTTTTCCAGAACAGGCCATATGTGTGGCCACAAAACGTCTGTCAATAAATTTTAAAATACATAAATTACACAAAGTGTATTCTCCAACCACAATGGAATGAAACTAGAAATAACGACAGAAGGAAAACTTGTAAATTCACCAATTTGTGGGAATTAAGTAATGCACTTTTAAGCAAGCCTGTGGGTCAAAGAAGAAACCAAAAGAAATATTAGTATTAGATATAAATGAAAAAATACAATGTGTATAAAATTGTATGGAGTTCAGCAAAAGCAATTTGCAGAAGGAAATTTATAGTTATAAATGTTTACATTTTTTAAAAAAGGAAAAATTACAGATCAATAACCTAATTTTAAAGCTTACAAAACAAGAAAAAGAATTAAACTTAATGCAGCAGAAGAAGGAAATAATAAAGATTAGAGCAGAGGGCTGGGTTGTAGTTCAGTGGTAGAGAGCTTGCCTTGCATTCAGGAGGCACTGGATTCGATTCTCAGCACCACATTAAAAATAAAATAAATATATTGTATCCATCTACAACAAAAAAAATTTTTAAAGATTAGAGCAGAGACAAATGAAATAAAGACTAAAAAATAATAGTGAAAATAAATTAAAACCAAATTTTGTACTTTGAAAAAAAATCAAGTGCCGCAGTCTGGCTGGGCACAAATCACGAGCCACTGAAGCAGGAACAAACTTTATTTTTAAACTGCAGGAAAACACTTCACACAGCTCCCAGGGAATCCTCCCGAACGCTCCAGGAGGCTTGTCCAGGAACCCCCAGCCGGAAATATCTCTCCCGGAAATCCCTCCTCCTGCACTTCCCCAACCAATGGGAACTCTCGGGGAATCCCCGGAAATCCCCATGAGAACTCCAAAATAGTGCGAGAACTCAAAAGTTGCGGCAGAGGCGGACAGTAATGCCTCGCCTGTCAATCAATACTGTTGGCAAAATGCCAGGGGCCATACAGACTTGGCCGTGGCTCTCAGCATCTCCCCCTTTTTGTTTAATTAAACAACAAGCAATGTGGCTTAGGGACCGTGCCTGTTAGGCAGTCCAATTCAACATATGGTCCTTACCCGTCATCGGATGAACTGACCTCTAGGCGTCAGCCTCCTGTCTTAGGTTGATACCACTGCAATTGGATCATACCCGTCACTGACTACCGGTCCAGCAAACAGCCATACTTGTGGATAGGCCTTTGCACCAGTGGGGGGGTGAGGTTCTTTGCCTCACCTCTGTTGGCCCCCAATTTTTAGACCATCACTAGTAGAAGGGAGGAGGATGCAAAATGCCATGACACTAAGCCAATTGAGGGCTCCTTTGAAAAATTGTACCACCGGTGACACCATCAGCAAAAATACTCCAGCACTACCACAATTCGCTGTACCAACAGATAGTTCACAATGCATACAAGTGATACATAGTCCAGGCAAGGTCTGCAAGCAATTCAAAGCAGAGGAATCTGTCAATATGTCCATTTCCTCCCAAAGTAAATCAACTCCTTAATTGA